CGGTATCTGGGTCCACATGATAATGTGTCTGTTATTAGACTGGCATTGTCTCATATCCTGGCAGCTCAGAGGCTGTCGGGGTAAGTCAGTCTGTGAATATAACTGTGCTTGCAGACAAACTACGGCTGTAGTCAGCAATGGGCTACTTGGGGCTACAGTAGTTCATTTTCTACTGCCAAAGGCCAGACTCCCTGCTTCTGGCTCTACTGATCATGTAGCTCAGTGCACCTGTGAAATAAGTCTATTGTTCCTTAGGTGTTTGGATCCAATTTATACGTGTAAGCATTTTCCAGATGCTCTATTCCTCCTGTGACTTTTGACAGATTTAGTATACAGAGAGATTATAACATCTTGTTCTTCCTAAAAATACTGAACTTGAAGTATTTTGTGTAGTAGTTTATTGTCATCAGATGTCTACAGCTGAAATTTAGATGGGTGGGAGCAAGCCATTGTTTTTTGAATTTGCAATGTGCTTTGAGAAACTGGGTGAAAAGTCATTGTTTCTGCTACAACATCATCCAGTAAATAGTTTGGGGAAATACAGCTTTTCTTTTTTCATCAGTATTTTTCCTTTGAGAGATGTTTCAGCTTCTTCCTTTTGTCTTCATCTTCCCAATTATTTTGAACATTATTGTAAGAACAGAGGGGAAGAGAGACTTTCCAAGGCCATGCTGTCATTGAAGCTGTCTCTTTGCATAGGGTAACTTAGCTACATTCAGACTTTCTTACTCTAATTACCACGTCTCAGTTATGGAAGAAAGGGGGAAGGCCCTGTGTTGTCTACACACATACACAGACTTAATGTTTTCTTCCATGGATAATAAAATATCTTTGACATCTGAAACAAGTGGGCATAAAATGTCAACTCCATACTCAGAATTGCCAATAAATTCCAAAGTGAAGGTGTGCTAATAAGAGATGCATGTGCTGCGTCCTCATTGTCAGGAGACAGAGAGGAGAAGAATTGTTTTGAGCAGTTCAGTCAGACGTAATTGGAAGTGATAGGATGAAATTGAGCAAAAAAGAAATTTAAGTTGGACATCAGGAAAAATTGCCTAACAATCAAGTCAATTAGAGTCTGGGAAGGGCTCTCAAGGGAATCTCAATCCATCTAACCCCTGCTCTAGAGAATATGTCTTAGTAGTCTGTCTAGACAGCAGGAATAGTGGGAGATGAATGTGCTTATTTGAGGATAAATTGTCTCTAAATATGGGTGCACCCAAATGTCTTTTCAGAGTGAAGCAAGACTAACTTCTCAAATGACAAATGGGGTTGTCTGTTTGCTGGTGATGTTCACAGCTCTGCGTAGTAAGTAGAATGAAGCCCAAATGAATAACATACCACTGCCTTGGGGGAGTTTATGGTATACAGATGGAGTGGTTATGTAGCAGATCTCTCCTGATCCTGCAGGACACTCTATTATTGTGCATTTAACATATCTGGAGTGTTGAGCGCAAAAGGTGCGTTTTCACATGCTAAGGCAAAGATGAAGAGACGTCTGGGTCAGAATTAGGTGAAAGCTGGCTGAAGTCATTTAGACTCTTTCTTTTGACTTAAGTTTTGGCGACCTGTTATTCCATGCACAGAGAAGTCTGAGCAGTGCCAGGGAATCTGAAGTGTCTGAGCAGGAGATGAGGAGTGCAAATGGAGGACAAAGACTCAGAAGGGGAGTGAATGAGAAGAGACAAGGACAGAGCTTAGAGTAAAGGAGAGGTAAAGAAAGCTTTGAACATGAGATGGAGAATTTGAAATTCTGCTTTGTGAGCGCGCAAGTTTGTGAATACAGTTCTATCGCCACAAAATGTTCTTCCCTTGCAAATCTCTGTCACCCTCCTTGACCTATAATCGTTTTGATAAGAGAGCACCAGGATCATGGAGATGAGGCTATTCATGCTGTTTAAAGCCTTGTTTCAGAGTCCATTATGTGGGATTTTTTTGGCAACACTAATATATGTAAATTCTTCTGAGTGCAATGTGAATCTGTGTGTTGCCATGTTTTCTTTTTCAGTTTGGGTTTGGTCTGTGTTAGTTATTTGCATCCAACAAAGGGTGACTGTAGGCTCAGATGAAAGAGCAGCTCGGCATTTATATTCAAGGATTTAAAAGAGATGAGCTCTTTCTTCCCACATGAAATAAAAAACATTTATCCTAGTACCTAATGGCTTCCACACAAATTTTTTCTCTTCAGTGCAGTTTGGCCTTTCATTCTAAACTGGCTGGTAAGTGGAAGCTGACCCACTTTTATCTGGCGGCCTGCATTAATGTGCTTTTGTGGAACCAATTATGATATCAGCATTGCTCTGTAGAGTATTCCCAGCAACTCCACGGTATCATAACAACAGCTGCACAAAATCTCCCTTCAAGTCATTTGCCAACTTTGTACACGTTTGTTAAACATGCAATACCTGCAGCACTGCTGATTGCTATAGGGAGCTATGCTGTACATGTGGAAAAAAAAAATAATTAAAGTTTGTCTTTAGCAGAACCTGGCACAGTACAATAATATTGCTAACTCACGAAGAAAAATAGTTGTCTGAATTTGTTATTTCTTTTTCAAATCCTTTTTTATTTTTGAAGCCATATTTATGTGCAAATCTGATACAAATAGAATTTGCCTTTAAATAGCATTAAAAATATCATTTTATAGGACAAATTTTGTAGGAGAACATTCAAAATACAAAAATTTGCACTTTGTTTCCTTAAGATGTTCTGCAAATGAAAGGTTTGATACGCAGTCTTTCCTCTGATTGCTTTGTGCTGTACTGGGATCATGAAGGAATATTCTCCTTTGTAACCAGCATGAAGATACCATAAGTAAAAGCATGTCACTTACTCAGTTGGTCTCCCCAGTTCTCTGACATCGCATGGCATAGCACTGATGAAAAACTCTTCTGATCCGTGTGTGCTTCCCTACACCAGGTCATAAGCAGTACCTCTGCATCATGTTCCTGCCACCATAATCATCGTTGACTATTGCTTAGTGCCAAGGGTGGAGCAGTAGAAAACATTACTTACATTTTCTCCTTTTCCTGAC